TGGATTGTGAGGCCAGGTGGGGGGCTATATGTTCTTTGTGCCCCATGGTGATGGAGGTGCTGGTGGGTGGCGGTGGGATCTAGAGCTGTACCTTTGTGCTGGGTACACAGCCAGAGCTACCCTGGGGACTGGCAATCATCATTTAATGGATGTCTTTAGTAAATTCCCACTCTGAGAGCCATCCATCTTCCCTGAGCATGATAATATAGGAAGGCACTTAGGCACTTGAATGATGAGCGATGGATGCTGCCAAGGATTTCCTTCTCCTCAGACTTGCCCAGAATCACTCTGGGGGTGGAGGGGTTTTGTCTCCTTCTGTGTCCTCAGCACTATTACGGGTCCCCAGGAGTGAGCTTAGCCCGTGTGCCATATGCCATGCCCTTAACCAAAAATCTTCCTTCACAATGCAAAAAGGAAGAGCTGTTCCCTTCCCAGGTCCCACTGACATGCTCGCTCTCCCCAAAACACCAGCAGCTTCTGCAAGCACCACGTGTGGGTGCAAGGCTTGGGAGACGTTCCCAGAGGTGGGGGGCAGCCAAAGGAGGTTTCCCACTTGTTTTCAAGCAGTCTTTGTTAAAATTGGTCACGGCAGGCTGCATCTCCTGCTGCCCAGGCGGTTTTGCGGTTCATTGGGCGGGCAGCAAGCACGGTGCTGGGAGGGTGAGGGTAAGCACAGCTCTTCGTGTTGCACCCCCTGTGCAAAGTACACCCCGCTCAGTGTGAATCCAGATAAATGCACATACCTGCTTTTAACCTGCTCATCAGCAGGTTGCCTTTGGCAAAGTCCTCTGAGCTTGGGAGCCTAGGGCGGGCTGGTAGCCAAGAGGGACATGGCCATGGCTGAGCCATCCTGGCTTCTTTGGGCACCTCTTTGGTACGGTGGCGTTTACTGCCGGAGGGGTCTGGCAGTGACAGTGCAAGGGCAGGAGCACTCTTTTAAATGCCAGAGGAAAGCAGGGACTGATTCCGTTTTCAACAGCCACGTATGTCCGTGGCATCTCTCTTGTCTCAGGGCTGTTTCTTGCATTCTTGGATAATGAAGTTTGGGGGTTGTTTTTCTTTTCTTTCAAGCTTGGCAAAGCCAATTTGATGCATTTTGAAAAGAAATTGAAAACAGGCTTCTCTGCTTCAAATTCTGCCAAGGTTCAACCATCCTGGGAATACAACGTCAAGGATAGCCCTCCCCCTTGCAACCACACTTAGAAAGTTTTATCTGCAAGCATCAAAGCTGCACAGCTCTCCAGTGTGCCCTCAGAGCCTGGGCTGTGCTGTATGTCCCTCTGATGAGTGAGAGTATATATTATTTACTTATTGGCATCCTCGAACAAGCAGTACCTCTCTTAAGCCTTTTTATGGGTTTTGCCTGCTGGGAAAAGGACCTAATTTCTGGCAAAGACATGCTGTCCTGTCAGTATGTCAGCCTGGCAAAGCAAAGCTGTACGTATGGTTTGCATTTTGGGCTGAATTGAAGCCATAGCTTAAACTGCAGTGTTTTTTTACAGCATGGGCTCAGAGAAACTCTCTTTGGAAAAGTATTTACCGAGGGCTTGTAAATACAGTATTATTTCTGCAGTGTTTTATCACCTGGGTTGTTATTAAATTTGCAATATCAACCGCCAGAAATAACACAGGGAGTGTACTTGAACTTTTTTTGTTTCTTTTTGTCGTTGATGTAGCAGGGAAACCCTGAGTGGTGCTGAGGAAGGGAGCCTGTGCTGGCCCTTGCCCAGCTTCACAGCCCAGGATTTCAAGCGTGGGGTGGGAAAGCGATGAAGCTCAAACTTGTGGTGCCCAAACCCGAGCTCACTGACAGGGAAGACAAAGTGGGTTTGGACAATAACGATTCCTCAACCACTTGGACTGTAAACTGACTTGACATTAAAAACCTGGCAATCGTTGCCATCTGTTTGGCATCCTCTGTTCTCCAGCTGTGGGTTAAAAAGGATTTTTCCTGCAGTATTTTGAAGGTTCTGCAAACGGGTCCCACATGCACCCCTCCAGCATACTGGGATTTTCGGGAGCCATGCTTTTTGCATACCCAGGGACAGTGTAAGCAACCAAAGGGTTATTATCAGCTGCATAACAAAAGTAATCACCCTGAAAACCCTCTGTGTAGAAGAAGAGGGTTATGGGGGAGTTAGGTGAGAGCAGGGTGGGCTATGTCTCCCCAGAAGGGTAGGACAGGGGAGGTGCTGGGAGAAGTTGCCCAGAGAAGCACAGATTGAGAAAGGAATCAGTGGACGGATGCAGATGGAAATACTGAAATTTACAATTTTTCCTGTCTTTTGGGTTTAATAACATAGATGTTATTGCAGTTAATTCAGCATACTTTGAGGGCAGAGGGACAGATTGTGAGGCTTTTACAGTGATGACTCAAAAGGAGTATAGATATCAGAATATCAGGATCTGCCCTTTTTATGCCACAGTGTTATTTTACTGGGGTTAAACTATGATACAGACATTGCACCTCCTCTAAACCCTTGCTCAGGATGCCAGACTTGGATCTGGATCACAACCAGCCTCTTGCCAGAAGTCCTGCTGCCTCTTGGGGTGCTTGGGTGTGTTCACAGCCATTCCCTCTGCAGAAAGGCAACTGAGGCAATGATTTAGCCATGCAGTGTGATGCCTGGGACAGTTAATGCCAAGACCTGAATAACCCTGCCTGTGATCTAGGACAGGACATCCTTCACTCTGGACTAGGTCTTTTTCACTCTAGGGAGAGATAAAACAGGGGGACCCGTGGCAGGTCCTCAGGCCCTGTACCAGACAGCCCCTGGTTCCCAGCAGAGGCTGGTGTAAGCTGTGTCTGAACAAAGAATTCAGCCCAACCGATATATTTTGCTGCACTACATTGTATCTCTGGGAGAGAAGCAATTAAATGAGAGCTATAAAGCTGAATCACTCCAAGTGCACCATCAATAGCTCTTGTAAGCTTCATTAAATCTGCTCAGTCCTTGAAAGGGAGACATTAAAGGAACACTCCTATGGTCGAGGCCAGCAAGTTGGTGCCTCCTCTCATCCACCTTGGCTGATGCAGTGTCTTTGCAAGACATGTGGCTCCTCACCATGGGGCTGTCGAAGCAGCCTGACCATTGTGGGGGCACGAAACCTGGTAGATATTGGGATAGTGCTGGATCACCTTATGGAGGGGCTTGTGCACTGGGGTTGCCTGTTCTTGGGGCTGGAGTTGTGCTGGGGGTGGGTCCCTGTGGCCGGTGGGAGCCTGCGGTCCTAAAAACCCCATGGCTGGAATTGTTTCTGCTTGCCCAGCTGCCTTCTGCAAGTCATTCTGGCTGCTGGCTCTCACCTCTCCAGCTTTTTAGATCTCTTTTTTCAAGCTTTTACTCTTATAAACAGTCTCTTATCCCTTCTTTGGCAATACATTGTCCCACTGCGTCTGCCATGGATATACTTGTGCTTCCAAAATAAATAGTTGCAAAAAAATGTATCCACTTGACCGCTGCCTTGACTTCCAATGTGAGTTTGAGCCACTTGGAAATGCCTGTTGAAAGAAGAGAAACAGCGCCAATGTGCTTTTTGTGGCTCCAGCCTCCAGAAATGTGTTTTCTGCCCAAACCCCGGTGAAAAAGGCATGCCTGCAGCGTGGCCCAGGACTGGCTTGGAGGATCTCCCAGTGCTGCCCCATCACTGCCCTTCACCTCAGCCCAAAAGGGAATGTGCTGTGCTCAGGGTAGCCCCAGCACCCTATGCAGGGAATTGCTTTAGGCCAAAGGGGAGATACGAATTTAGCAATGCAGGGAGACTTGCACAGTGTTTGCTTATAACTGCCTTTCCAGCCTATATAATTTTTTAAGTTGCTCCAAAATAGAAAGTATGACTAAAAGGGGGGGTGGGGTGTGTATAAAAATGTACACCTCAAAAGTTGTTAGTACCTGTCTAAAGGCAGTTCCTTAGTGCTGGGAATCAGAAGACTTTAGGTTTCACATATAGCATAGATCATATCATAGACTCATAGAATGGTTTGGGTTGGAAGGGATCTTAAAAATACTTAGTTCTAACCCTCCTGTCACAGGCAAGGACACTTTCCACTACACCAGGTTGCTCTGAGTTCCATCCAACATGGCCTTGAACACTGCCAGGGACGGGGGATCCACAACTTCTCTGGCAACCTGTTCCAGTACCTCACCACCCTTGCAGTAAAGAATTTTTTCCTAATATCTAACTAAACCTACTCTCAGTCTAAAGCTGTTCCCCCTTGCTTTATTACTCCATGCCCTTGTAAAAAGTCCCTCTGCAGCTCTCTTGTAGCCCCCTTTAGGTTCAGGAAAGTGCTATAAGGTCTCCCCAGAGCCTTTTCTTCTCCAGGCTGAACAACATCAGTTCTCTCAGCTTGTCTCCATACAAGAGGTGCTTCAGCCCTCCAGCAGTTTGCACCCTTTTTTAAAACATAGGCAGTCACAGGTCCCAGCTGACACTTGGAACTGCCTTGCTTTTGCTGGACACAGTGATGGGCTGAGGTCCAAAGGCCTTGTCTCAGTATGCATTGAGATGTCCTGCAGGCAAGGTTGTGGGGATCCAACTTACAGGTTCAGTGTGCAACGAGGATATGAATCAGTGAGTGTGCCCAGAATAAGGTCTGAAGGATAAAAACCTCTTAGGAACTGCCAAGTGTTTATATCCAGACAGGAATTTGCCCTGGTCCTTTTTTTTTTTTTTTTTTTCCCATTTCTTGAGTCTTTAAAGCAAAATATTTGTTCATGAAGAACTCATTGCCCATGAAGCGATCCTGTGCATCAGCACTGCAGACATGGCAGCCTCTGTGGCGGGTCAGCCCTTGCTCTGACTGCAGATAATTTCTGTCACAAATCATGGCACCAGCCACACCCCTCCTGCTACAGTGCCCTGAAGGCAGTGAGTGCTTGGGGAACATCTTTCCTGGCAATCAACACAAGCAGAAGGGCTGCTCCTCCAAAGCAAAGGCTATGGAGAACTCTCCTGGACTAACACTGTAGTACCGCTCTGCCTTTCTCTCCCTGCAGGCCCAGCGAGTGTGGCGAAGGTTGGGGATGAAGCTCTCAGCCCCAGCGGCCGTCGGGATGCTGCTGGCCCTGGCCCTGCTGGCACTCCTCCACCTGCCCCCACCGCCGGACCACTCCCTTCTCCCACTGCCGGCCTCGTCCTCCCCAGATCCCCTGTGGGAGGTGGCTGACCCACTATCTGGAGGACCAGCCCGCAGAGAAAGGCTCCCTGTACCCCTCACTCGCTCAAGGCGGGACCAGACCCCTGGCTGGGGCAGGAGGCGGCGCCGGGGTGTGGAGAGGAAAACTCCCCCTTGGCTCTCTGAGGATGACCTCCGGAAGATGCAGCTGCTGGCCGGTGGGCAGGTGGTCTCCAAGACCCGCATACCTGCCCATGGGCAAGTCATGCGAGTGGGGCTGCGGGCCTTGGGGGATGCCAAGGGGAGTGCCTTGCCAGCCAGCCCAGAGAGGACTGCCAGGATGGGCACTGTGGGCTCATCAAGCGCCCCGGGGACCTCTATGAGGTGCTGGCCTTCCACCTGGACAGGGTGCTGGGGCTGAACCGCAGCCTGCCCGCTGTGGCCCGGCGCTTCACCAGCCACCTCCTGCCCTACAGCTACACCGATGGCTCCCTGCGCCCCATCATCTGGTGGGCTCCTGACCTCCAGCACCTGGAGGATGCCAACAATGACCAGAACTCCTGTGCCTTGGGATGGCTGCAGTACCAGGAGATGCTGCAGTCTCGCAGATCAACGTTGGTGGCCGTGGATGCCCCCTGCTCCAGTATCCCACACGGCGAGTGGAGCCGTCTGGCCCTCTTTGACTTTCTTCTCCAGGTAGGGCTGCAGTGATGGAGACCACCCATCCCACCAGACATGCCACCTGGGTCCCCCTGCGTCTGAGCCTTTATTGCCTGGCCATGGACTCCTTCTCCTCTGCGGGGTCACATAGGCTGTGGTTTCTTGGGATGTATTTTCACTCATCAGCTAACGTTGAGCAGCAGAGCTTTGTGCAGAAGCACTTTGGCCCGAGTATGGTCCGTGCTTGGGACTTGCAGGGGAAACACAGGCAGGTTTTGGATGTGGTGAGTCTGCTCTCATGTGGGTGAGCTTTCTGCCATTGTGGCTTCACTGGATTCCCTTTGTGCAGATGACAGCAGCAGCTTGGGGCATTCCTAGGGACATCCCTAGGCCATCCCTAGGGACCAGCAGAATTTTCTGCATCAGCCCCGTCAGAGCCAACTCCAGGGATGCGCTGCTGGCACTAGAAAAAAGGAGCCCTGCCCCTTTGAACAGCACTGATTTCCTCCTCCTCTGCATTAGTAATACTTAATCTCCCATCTGGAAAATCATACCCTGCTGCTACAAGGGATTACAACAGAATCCCAGAGAGTTATCAGTTCTTGGAGGGCAGCTGTAAGGAGGCAAAAGTGATTTTTATGGAGAAAAAATAGCCTGTTTAGGAACCTTGGGGCTGGAGCTTTGGTTATCAGACAACGGGAAACTGCCTGAAAGGGCAAGTATTAAAGTAAAAAAAGAAAGAAGTGAAGAAAGAAAAAACACAAACTAAATGTGTTCTCATTTTTCTCTCTCTCTTTGTTTTTGTTGTTGGGTGGGGTTTTTTTCACAAATCCTGACCATTAATCTTTATAACCTTGAACTAGGACTGGCAGAGGCAGAGCAGTCCTGGCTGGGCTTGGAAATATTTTAGCTGAAACAGCCAGAGAAATGAGAAGATTAACCAACCTTCTTCCCTTCCCCAGGCCAAAATGCTGCTGAGTGTAGTGGAAAGGCTGAGTTTCCAGGAGAAAGTATCTGGTTCTAAAGAGAGTTTCCCTTGAAGTGCTGGAGCAGTGCAGTGATAAATCCAAGGTTTTCCTCAATAATTCCTATGGGATCCTCCCATGCAGAAAAGTCATATAAAGGTAAAGAGTCTGCAGGATATTGTAGAAGTGAAATAGCATTGTTCTGAAATGGCTTTAGCCTCTCACAGCCCTTGCTGGGGAAGGAGAGGCTGTGAGATTTGAGACCTATTGTAAATTGGCATTAGAATCTTGGTAGTTTTCCTCAATTACCCTTAAAATTGGGCTTCTTCTATGTTGATATCTCTTGGTGTTTGCCATAAGAGAACCCCCCTCTACATACAGAATTTTACTGGGGGCAAAATGCCAAGCCTGGTAGAAATGGTAGAGCTGCTGCTGGCTTTGTCCTGTGCTTTAAAGAGGGTCAAAACCAAATCGCCTCTGAAGCCCTGCAGCCACAACCCTTCTCTGGAGTGCTCCCTTCTGAACTGGAGAGAAGCAAGGAAATTTTCCCTAGATGAAACCATCCCAGGCTGAATCATGACTGGAAAGACCTACCAAACCCAAGGGGATGCCCTGGGTTTGTCCACAGGACCAAAGAAGGGCTGAAGGTGAGCTGCTCACGGGGTTTGAGCTTGGACAGGAGTAGGTGTGGCTCTTGTGTTCCAGCAATAGGACCTAATGTCCCATGCATTAGAGCCATTGTCTTCTTGTCTCTAGCAAGAAGAAATTGATATAAAGAATCAGGAGAGGGCCAGGGGGAAAGAGGGCTTGTCAGCATGTCAGTGGCACTCTCAACATCTCCACAGCCATCTGGTCCCTCTCCTGGGGCTCCATTTGGACACCAGGTCTGCCTTCACCTCGCACCTCTGCATGTCCAGCACCAATCCACACTGGTTTCACAGGTGCTTGTGGGCAGGTGAGTAGAGCTCTGAGCCCCTGTAATGTCTCTGTAAGTCATCTGAGGTTGTCTTCACCTTCTGTACAGCCTGGAAGACAACATAGCAGGTGAGAGAAACTGGCACACTTTCCAGTAGGCAGACACGGGAGATGTGTGGAGGAAATGTAATATTTTCTTCAATTTCAATGAGTTTTGTGTCAAAATGCTCAAGTACTTTTCACTGGAGTGCCTCTCAATGGAGAAATGCTGATCGAAGTGTTTCGTTAAAACTCAGGAAACAGAGAGGTTTGTTAAGGGGCTCCAGTGGGGGACTAATCCTGCTTTGCAAAGGGTTACAAGTGGAAAGGGTTCCCTTCCCTTCGGAAAGAGTTACAAATGGCCGTGGAAATCACAGTTTGTGTGTCCTGCAACCTCTTCTCCACTGTTTGGTCAGTATTGGGGTTCAGGCTGAACTCTCTCTCAAAGCATAGCCTGTGCCTGACAAGTTGTGCTAATTATCAGGGTGAAAGGAATAGGCAGCCACTGTGGGTCACTTGGCTTCTGTTTAGTCATCACTCGTAGATCACTCCAGGCTTCCCTGAGACCTCTTGGGTCTTACCTTACTCCATCCAGCCTTCCTGGTGGCTCTAGGAGCCTCATTGCACCCCAAGCCCTGCCTCCTGGGTTGGCACCAGCAACACCAAGTGAGTCAGTCGGACATCTTCATGCTTCAACCAGAAAATATATTTATTTTATGTATATTTAGATATGCAAACAGGCCTCTGGAGCCGGAGGTGGTGAGGCAGCTCCCCTACACTGTTGTGGCAACACGCAACACGTGGGAAGGACTGCTGACAGGCAAGGAGGCCCTGTCTGCCCCACAAACCACCACAGAGGCTATGTCAGCTGCTTCTGACAAAGCTGAGGAAGCTTCATGAATACCAAAGCAGGCTTACTGAATTCAGGTCTGACAGAGATTTATGTCTTTTAAAAGTCCTTCGTTCCTCTGAGGGTGTGGTTGAAACACTGGAATTTGCCAAGGAGCAGTGGGGTTTCTGCAGGGAATTAGGATGGGAAGCAGGAGGTTTGACAGGCTTGACAACACAAAGCCTTAGCAGCACCTGCAAATAATTAACCAGAAATGTAGCTAAAACAAGTCACTGTGGCCCAACTTAAATGTCAGGCATGCTCTGTGAATGCACACATCGCTTTTTCCCTTGCTGATACTTTTCCATTCATCTTTCCATTGAGAGCTGCTCATGTTACCATAGGGATGGATGAAAGAGTGTGTATGTCGCAGGAGCCAGATGAAACCACCATCCAGAATACCAAGACTTGGAAAAAAATTATCTTTCTGAGGATTCAAACCCTAGGTTTCCTTGGGTGCTTTTCTCGTTTTTCTTTTTGTGTTTGTTTTCGTTTTGTTGGGTTTTTTTACATTCATGGCCGTGTGTGTCTTCTCTTGGTTTCAGCTGGAAACACAACCTGTTCACTCTGTGAAAATACAGAGTGTGGAGGTACCAGGCACAGAATGTACCTGAACTCCATCAGGAAAGCATGTCACCATCACCTTTGTCATCACCTTCTTCAAGACAGAGGAATTTTGCAAGCCAGCTCAGCTTCTTTGTTCTTCCCTGCCTCTCACTCACTCACCGATGTATGCCATCTTTTCCCATTTCACGTCTACTGAGGATTTCTAGAAATGTTTTATTTTCCTCTGAGCAAGAAAAGTTTACAACAGGACCTTCCCATCCTGGGCATACGTCCCTGCTGAGGTTCCCAAATGTCTCCTGCAGGTTCATGACCGCCTGGACCGCTACTGCTGTGGGTTTCAGCCTGATCCCTATGAGCCCTGCGTGGAGGAGATGCTCCATGAGAAGTGCCGGAACCCAGAAGAGCTGGTCCTGGTCCACATCCTGGTATGTCCCCCTCTCCAGAGGCTACTCTGGGCTAAGATGAAGGTAGTTGGGAGGTGCTGGGAGGCACTAGCAGGGCTGAGGTGGTAGCAAAGAGAACTCAGGTCCCATGGTGACATTGGGTCCATGGTGGGAGGTGTGCCCGGCATGGAGGGACCTGGACTTGGGTCATCTGCTGTCCTCCAGATACTCTCAGGCCTTCTCACTGCATTAAAAAGCAGCCTACACCCACAAACAGGTGTCTCTCTGCAGTGAGTGAACTTCTCCTTCCCATCCTGCTGGCAGGTCCGGAGGAGCGCGCCATCCCGCCTGGTGTTCATCGACAATGCAGGCAGGCCACAGCACCCTGAGGAGAAACTCAACTTCAGGCTCCTTCAAGGCATAGACAGGTAGGAATGTGCACGTTCCTGGGGGCAAGTCCTGGGCAAGTGCTGAGCTGGCATGTGTGGGATGCCCAGCAGCCCTCTGCGCACACCTTCGTGCCACTCCTGGCCACCTCCCATCCAGAGCAGGGTGGGTGGGCAGGCTCACAGAAACATCCCATGTGCCCCTGCCATGAAACTAGCTCTTTATTCTGCTCTGAATGACTGATGGCAGGCTCCAAAGCCTACTTCCCCTCTTTAACTGGCAGCTGCACAAAAATAATGAATAATCAGGTATTTCAGCATTTCTTGCATCGTTGCCTGTGAGGCATTTTGGCATGCTATAGGCCTCCTGATTTGGAATTTGTTTGGATCTGTTTCTGGTGGAGCTATCCTCCATGCTCACCATGGGCAGAGCTTTAAGCAGGAGGCTCCTCATCCTGTGTTCCTCTGGGTGGACATGCATTTCTTCCTGAAGCACCTTTGCTCAAGTGCCCTGCTGCTTCCCTCCTCTCTGCCCAGACTTCCCCGAATAACCTCTTCCCTCCTTGTCTCTTCTTCTCCTCCTCTGCAGCTTTCCAGCGGCGGCAGTGGCCACGCTGCGGTCGGGCAGACTGCAGAGCCTGCTGCTGGAGTCACTGCGTGTGGACCGGGAGCTCTGGGACAGCCAGGGCGGTGCCGAGGGCCTGAGACCCCTGCTTCAGACCATCGACAGGCGGGCACGGATCCTGCTCCGGTACATCCAAGAGCACAACCTGACAGTGTTTGAGGACTTGCCATGCTGAACTGACCTCCAGCCAGCACAGAGTGCCTGCCTGGCAAATCCCAACAGCAACAGATGTACCTCATGCCCTCAACATGGGTGATATGAGACTGCTTGGCTCTCCACAAGGTAGAATGCTCTGGAGAAGCAGATGGGATCACAGGGAGCAGGAAAGAGGAGGAGGAGATGTCTCCTGAGACAACCCACAACTGCTTGAGAAAGGCAACAGTCATCAAGTCATGGTCTCAGCATGGATTTTCAAAGGACATCAATGAGATTTTTGGGTGCCTTCACACATACACACATGCATGCACACAGACACAAATATACACACACAGCTACTATGAAAACTGGAGGTTTGGACAATTGAACATGGACCCTGGGAAGGGTTAAAAAGCAGTGGAAGAAGTCACTGGCAGCCTTTCTGTGACTTGTACTGGGCTTTTTGATGATGCTTTCCAAAACATCCCAGGCAGAGAGGTAAGGGGAGACCAGAGAGGAACTTTCAAAGTGGATTAAGCAGGGACAAGATGCTAAAGCTGAGCTCTCTCTGGTACTCCCACGGAGGGGATCACGTGTGCTTGGGAGCAAGTGTAAGCCACTGCTTGAAGCCAGGGCTAGGCAGGACCCTGGACTGCAGCAGCACCGGGCAGCAGCTGCCTTCACACAGCCCATGGTACCATCCTTGGCGAGAGCTGTGTGCCATGTGCTGTGTGCCTTGTGCCATGCCTCAGCAGGCCTGCACTGCTGTCAGGGTGCACTCTCAATTTGAAGATTCAGATCTCTTGCTCACTCTTTCCCTTCACCAGCAGGGGATTAAAAGGCAAAACTACCACGGTTGTGTAAAGCACTCCTGACTGCTCTCTTGGGCATGACTGTGCGAAACTCTTTCCAAGGCTTGCAGAAATAAGTTTTTACAAAAATGCCAGGCTATTTCAGCAGAAGGCAACCAAGTGCAAAACACTTCCTGAGCATGCTGGCACCTCCGGCAGAGCCCATCCTACTCCTGTCATCCCTCAGGCTCTTGCTCAGCAGCCCACTGTGATGAGGCACAGCAGCATCCCAGCCAGGCAGGTCCTCAAGTGTCAGCGCTGAGAGACAACCCAAAAGCAAAAAGAACAGGAGGAAAAAAGATACAGGGATGGGCTCTATCACTCCCTACAGTGTGTTTCCCAGCTGAGGCATGCAGTCAGTGTTTGCTTGCCAGGAGCTGCCAGTTCCTGGCCTGTGAGCCAAAGGTTTACCACCAGGACAAGGCTTTTTAAAGGGGAGCTGCCCCAGGGAGCAGCCCTCCATTTTTCCCTCCCCACAGGTAGAGCCTCTGTGCTTGAGGCACCCCAAATGACTTGTGCCTTTGGAAAGCCTCAGTGGGTGTGGGCACCCATGCGGAGCTGCTGTCCCATTGCCATAGCTTTGGAGAACACGGCCACCCCATGTAGCAGGGGAAGAAAAGGCAGGTATTGGTGCCTTCCCTGCTCCATCCCTCTTAACATCATGTCACTTTGAGAGCCTGCAAGGGGATGCTTTAACACCCATGCCGATAAGCACAAGCAATTACCTTTTTTCCCCATTTTCCTCTTGCTGAAGAGAAGATGAAGTGAGGCGTGGGTGACATGAATCAACAAGCACAAGTGCTCTCAGGAAGCGTCAGCACTCAGCATTGCAGGCACATCAGCATCCAAAGTGCCATCAGCATCTTCCTGGAGTCCTGCCCTCCAATTAGCCAGGGGAAGCCTTTCCCCCAGCAGTCTCTGCACCCCATGAGTTATCATCCCATTTGCCATGCCATAGGATGGATGACTGTCACGGAAGCCCTGCTAAAACCTGAATTGTGGGGATTTATTATTGGTGGGTGAGCTTAGCTTGCAAGCATGGAGGAGAGTGAAATAACTCAACCTGTTTTCTATGAAAAGCCATGTCCAAGCATGGCTGTATAAGAGTAAAGGATACTAAATGTAACATAATTAAATCCAAAAAATATGCTATGAAAAGCTGTGAGGTAAAAAGAAAGTTAGAGTGTGCAGCATCAGTCATAGATTTTTTTTTCTCATTAAACTGAGAAATTTCATTAAAAGAGAGGTTTTCATCCCATGTAATCCAAGTTCTCAGTGAGAACTGAGGGGCAGGTGGGGCTCTGTGCAGTGGCCAAAGCTTGTGAATTTTGCTGTGCTGGAACAGCAGCTTTTGCCTTGCCTGTGGTTGCATCTTCTCAACCTGAACATTGCACAAGGTAGTGGGGATTTTTCTGGGGTTTTTTTTGCATTTCCTTAGTTGTAATGTGAGTTTGCACACATACGGGTACATCTGTAAGCAGTGACGCATGTGAATAAAAATCACTCATGATTTAACAAAGAGCCACGTATGGATAAATGAGAGAAGCAAAAGCCATGATCTTGCTGAGACTGACCATTATTCTTCTTTAATTTGTCATTTGTTCCATGGGCTTGTCTATGTACCCATCACATGGCTGTTCAGAGGAATCCCGTGGACTGCTTACATCAGCCATGTAGTGTTTGGTTCAGTTTGCTCCAGCTGTGAATGTGTCATATTTCCTATGATAAACTTGTTTTCATGGTTATAACTATTTTATAGTTATAAATATTCACTTGGGGCCATGCTTGACAAAGAAGATTTCTTCTGAGCAGTGATCCTGATTTAACCAAATTTTACCGGATATCATTACGGATCCTGTTGGGGTGTGGAAATGAAAAAAACAAAAACAAAACAAAAACAAACCAACAAACAAAACAACAGCAACAACAACAAAACCCAAACAAACAAAAAACCACCATGGTCCAAGTTGGCTGCAGCACTGGGGCGGGATGGCTTTGGTTTAAGAAGGCAGCAGCAGCTAAGCAAGGAAAATAGCAGTGGAGAAACAAGGGCTCCTCAAAGGAGGGCACCCCTGCAGCACCCTCATGCTCACCTTGGCACTGTGGGAATGTACTCCAAGAACAGCCTTTGAGAGGAAGGGCATGCACCTTCCCAGAGCTTCACCAGTAAGGAACTGATTCATGCTGCGATGATCCGAGTGACATGATCTGTGTTTAACAGATCTCTGGCTGTGCACAGCCCTTCAGCTGGCAGGAAATCGGGCTGGGTGATGGGAGGCAGGGGTCAAGCTGGCTCCAGCCTGCTGAACACGCACACACATGTGCATGCCAACACACACCATGTCACTACTCCTATTCAGCCTGTTTTTAATGCCCCCAAAGTTGGTGACCCCCGGTCACACCCCAGCAGCTTGCTCCAGTGCTTTGCTGGCTCCACCCTCCATAAACACAACACCTTTTTGCTGCATTTAAAGGCTGTTTCTTGAGCTGCCCGTTGTGGCCACAGGACACTAAACAGTCTTTGCAGCAGACCTGCATGGCCCTCACAGAGCAGCCTGAGCTCTCACTGAACCCACCCATTGCCAGGGGTGGCAGTAGTGGGGTGGCACTCGGGGGTGATGGGACGACCCACCCTTGTGCTTCCTTCCCCTTAAGGGTGGGTTATTACAGGAGGCCCTCAGAGACCCCAGAAGATGCTTGGCAAAATCCTCCCAGTCATCCCTGTGCCACGCAGAGGAAGCGTGGGCTGACTGCTGCCTGAAAGGCAAGAGCTAGCAAGTAAATCCAAATTTATTGTTAAATAACTGGATATAAAAATAATCCGGCTTTTAGAAAGCAATTTATTTATGCTTTCAGTACTTACTTAAATATTTATGTGGAGAAGGAAAAAAAAGTCTGCTTTGACACAGGACTATCGTTGCAGCAGCGGCCTTTAAGATAAATGGAAGTAAATTAGCCTGATGTTTTATTTACATCCAGTGAAGCAATAGATAAACTCTCCTTGTGATGGATTTTCTTCATTAGCTGGGCGAACGCCTAAGGTACAGCTTTTGACATTGTTTCTTCCGTGTGGTTAGACAAACAGTTTATCAAAAGGGTATAAAATTGTCAGGGAAAGGAGCAGATTAATGGGCAGTAAAGTGAAGATCATTGAATTTATGATATAAGTAGCAGTATCACTGGAGCTTAAGAAATGGCTTATTAGATAACCTACACGTGTACGCACGCAGAAGCGCTGAGCCCCCTGGATCTGCTGCATTGTCAGCGGTTGCTTCCCAAATCCCAGTGCGGGGGTCCCCACGCTGAAGCTTCACCTCCCTCCTCCTTTCCCTTCCCTTAGGTCTGGGTTTATGCTGTAACTCTCTAATTAGAGCTTTCCTCCCAATTAAAAATCCCTAAGACTTTTAATGGCTTCAGGGATTACAACCTTGTCTTCACGTCTGAGCTGCTGTAACCATTTCCGCAACCTATTTTGTCAATTTTGGCTGCTTTCAGAGCAGTGATAATCATACCTGTATCAACAACAATAATGTATAGGTCTTATGATTCTCTGCAAAAAAAACCCCCAGCATTAGCAGTTTATGGATCCCATATGGCTCCTGCAGCAATCACCTCTGTAATGATAATTAGCTGTCAGGTAAGGCAAATGGGAAAAAGGAGACAGGGAACCTGGGAGAAAGGAAACATTCCTGGGTATGGTAGAGGGGCTGGGCATGTGGATGCCCGAGATCTCTGCCCTGCCAGGCATGGCTCCAGTTTTCAAGCTTCAGAAGCGCGGTTTTGGGTGCAAGGACAAGCAATAAACACGAGTTTAGCCAGTGCCATGGACCTCGGCCTCCAAGAGCTGTCTCCAGCAGGTGGCATCGTCTCGACAGGCTGTCTTTTCCCCATGCTTGCCAAGAGCGTCTTAAAAAGTTTCATCTCCGGACCAAGAGATTTCAAGCTGCTAGAGCATCATTAATTCCCTAATTCCCTTGCAGCCTAATCCGTCCAGCTGTACTTTATATCCCTCCAGCAGCACTACCTTTTTCCCTCTGTTATTCTTTTTCCAATGAAAATCTAAATTTACAGAGAAAAGCAGACCATGCCTCTGAGCTGGGAGCAAGAAAGAGAGGGATGAAGGATGGCTGCTTGGAGAATGAAATGCTGCAGCACCCAGGAATCTGCCCACTCAAGTGTGGACCTATGTGCACAGCACCCACAGGATTTATGGATTGAAGACCTCAAATGGTGATCATGTTTCCAAGAATAGGGCCTCTAGAGATATTTTTGATACCTGCTGTTTTGGTAGGATAGTCTCTGTTCCAAAGAACTCATAAACTTCAGGATTCTTGAATAGGCCCTGCAGTCATCCCTGGGGTGGATTTTAAAATGATACATCTCTCAGAGCTGTGTCCTGCCAACCAGCAGATAACACAAATCCAACCATGCTTTGGGTCTTTGCAATCCATTGGTTTGTAAGCAAGGCAAACCAAAGATGGGAACAGCCTCTCATAAACAGGAGGAGTTTTCCATCCAAGACTATCAGCATGTGGTCCTTGGGGATTTCCCTGGGTTTTACTGTTTCACTCCTCACTGAAGGAACAGCCTCACTTTTTTTCCTCTTCCGAGTTGAGCCAGGTTTTATTTCCCTCGGTCATACCCAGCATCATAAATCCACAAGATAATGCAGCTGCAAAGGGGTTTCTTTCATGAAAGAATCCTCTTGGATGAGGATTTTTCCCACTAGTTACTTAGC